CCCTTATCAAAAATAGAAAGAAGAAAAATCCTGACTCCGCCGCTGGTTTGATCTCATAGGTCGAAATTATCAGAATCCAAATATACTCATACATTCTCTTTGCATTATATACCCCAATCCCCCTTTGCCCGGTGAGCTGTCATAACACCAAAGGTTCCCTCGGAATGCGCGGCGCACGCCTGACGGGGCGGACGAAGCGACGCCACCTGATCGCCTTGACGCGGTCGTTATTTCACGCTACCCGTCTAGAAATGGTGCGGCCACTACTTGTTGTTTCGTGACTTTCAGCGCATAATTATGATGAGCCCAAAGTAATGGCTCTAACTTCGGCCTCTCTGTCCCTACTGCATTTTCGTTCGACATGCAGAAAATAATATTAATAAAAGAGAAGGGGCTATAATATCCCTTATGGTGGCGTGAATGTCGATTGCTGATATTGACTTGACGCCAAAATATAGCCATCGGTTTTCACAAAAGTCTGATACAGTAGTTTTCACACAAGACGTCAACAGGACCTCAGTTCGACTATTTTATACTGCTGCGTATAGGGTAGAGAGTTATTTGCTTATTGAATGACGATGAAGCTTGTTATTATTTTTCTATTTTGATGAGGGAGCGGCGCGATGGCCGAAAGGAGACGTGGTCGCCTGTGGGTAATCTGCTGCAACGTGCAAAACGTGTGTGCCACACGGGTAGGGGAGAAGGGGGGGGGGCGAAGCGGGGCGACGCGGGGTGTGGAAGCAGGTGGAAGCGCACCCGCAAACGGCGAACGGACGAGACACAATGTGCAAAACAGAGGCAGTCACGTCGTTCCGCGTCTTTTTAGTACTCCAGAGAGAGCGAGAGAGTCGGGTGGTCAACGCTCCACCTCAGGGACGACGTGTTACTGCACTGAGTATGCGCACGCGTGTGGGCAACAAATTAATGAAGGATGTCTGATATGTCAGCCCCCCCCCCCTTGAGCAAAGCAATCATCAGATTCAATAAGAATCGTCCAGAAAGTGTGTCCGTTATTCTCAGATTCATCCGTGAAGTCAAAAGACGGGAGAGCTCGCCGCCTGCGAGACTCAGGGTGGGCCGCCCCGCAGTACACGGATGCACCATACGCAAGATGTTGCCTACCCATCAGGCGCTATGAGAGCTTGGAGAGGCTGAACTTTTCAGAGGCCCGCAACGGACGTACTTTGTGGACGATCTTAGCCTCCCTTCCGCCCCGGTCTCCAGCCAGAGCAGCCGGCCAACCCTTGCAACCTAACCAGGCCTAGCCGTCCCGGCCGCTACTAACGGCTGAGAACAGCAAAGTCACCAGTCAGCTGACCGGCGTCGCCCGCCGCACGGCCCGGCCCGGCCCGCCCCGCCCCGCCTTGGGTACCGCCCTAGCACTGACCCGCAGCTGGAGTAGGGCGGCCCTGCTCATTGTGGTGGTCGCAGCCGGGCTGTCGAGAGACGAGACGATACCATGGCGTGCCAAGTGTAAGTAACGGCAGCTCAAAAGGGGGCCTCTGTCTATCCAAACCCGCGCACTTTCGCCTCGGAATAATAGCCCCTCCGGCCATATCGCCCCCGCTCTGATGCAATGGTCCGCGACGTTTCCATTTTCACCTTCCTCGCCGGCCGCGTCCCCATCGCGCCCCGTTGTCCGCTATTCGCCCGCTAATGAGGGCCGCCTCTCTGCCGGCCAGGCCGATAAGGAGGAGACGGACGTGTTGGTCTTGTTCTGGGTGTAGACACTGCGCTGTGCTTGTGCTCGACCACGGAAGGGTTGCGCGAACCGCATGGGTGCGAGAGAGAGAGAGAGGGAGAGAGAGAGAGAGAAACTTGCCCATTAATTCTTTCGACAGAACGACCATAGCCGATGCGATTGTGAGGTGAAAGCAGCCTACTCAGCGTTCACGTTTTTGTGATACCGCCCAATAGTTCTCTAGCGACGGCGACCTAGTGTGGCGCAGCAGTGCTCTCGTCACCGTCCGCCCGCATCTGATCTGAAACTGCCCAGCTAGAAAAATGTGAGAGACGAAATCGACACATTGATCCAAGAATAGTTTCGTCTCTCATTTCTCGCTGGGGTTTGGGTCAACTGCAAAAAATAATTGTTTGTGAACTTGATTTCGGTTGCCTCGCGTGCTGCGCATACACACCTCTCAACTCCAACCGAAAAGGGATCAACAACCGTTCCGAACACCGCCGCGTCGAGTGTTTTGTCCCGGCCCACCGGCGCGCCGGTGGCTTATCTGCCCCGCCCTGCGCCTGAGCCGGCCGCATCGCATTCGTCATGGCTGCTCACACCTGTGCACAGCTGTGCGTCCGGGTGGCACGACGACACACGACGCCCACCTGCCCAAACACCTGCTGACCTCATATGCAGCGCGGTGGTGCACCTCCACCGGCCCGGCGGCCTGCATGGGGGGTCGTGTAGTGGAATATGGATAGTTAACTATGCAAGAGTATAAAACTCGACAGTATTGCGCTCTCTTTTATGCATGTTTGGTCATAAAACCGTCATATGGAAGGAACCCAATGAACTGTAAGGGCCTTACAGTGTAAGGCCCCGCTGCTCCCCCCCTCGTCGCCCCCACGCCTAGCCTAGCCCAAACGCTGCTCACTCTGCTTCAATTATTTGAATTGGTCAGCGGGTCCCCAAGAAAATGAAGCTGGCCATCACGCCACATGTCAGACGAATGACACATGTCGCGATGGTGACGGACGATACGCGGACAGTAAAACAAATTTTCCGCAGTTACTCCTCGAACACTTTGAGCTCATCTCTCCCCTCGCCCGCCGCCTTTTAGCATGCAAGAGGCGGAGCCGGATCTAGCGGTGACGCGGGGAGGGAGGCAACGCTGTGATAGTTGCCTACTTCCAGGCGGCAAATCATTTGAACTCGCCCTCTTCCGGATGAAGCACCCCTTTGCACGTCGGAATTTTCAGCGGAAGGGGGTGGCGGACCCGTGCTGCTCGGAAACGAGCATCGCGCTCTGCAATAGGCAGGAGGGTTCTCCACGACGTCGTTCTGTTGGCAGGGGTGACTTCAAGCGGCGCTACGTGGTGCTGGCGCTGCTCCTCGGCGTGGTGGGACTCGGCGTGGTGGTGGGCTTCACCGTGCGCTACGTCACCTCGGTGGCGTACACCAGGCCCGGCGGGGACGGCTCCGAGGCGCTGGTGCCGCCCAACCCGGAGGTGCCGCTGCCGCCCTCCGCCTCCGTCCACCACGTGTTCAAGAGGGGCGCCGTGTGCGCGGACGGCGCGCCCTGCTCCGCCATCGGCAAGTGAGTACGTGCGGAGGGTGCTGCTCTAGGGAGGGGTACTTCACTCAAAAGATCAGGGTACACGCTCCAAAAGAATTATA